GCCCCGCCGCAGGATGCCCACGCGGACACGCCCCTGCACTGCGCCATCTCTGCGGGCGCCGGCGCCAGCCGCATCGTGGAGGTCCTGACCGAGGTGCCCGGCGTGGACGTCACGGCCACCAACCGCCAGGGCTTCACCCTGCTGCACCACGCGTCCCTCAAGGGCCACGCGCTGTGAGTTGGGGGGCGGCCAGCCCTGGCGTGGTGGGGGGGGCCGGCACCCACCTTCTTGCCCCCGCAGAGCCGTCAGGAGGATTCTTGCCCGGGCGCGGCAGCTGGTGGACGCCAAGAAGGAGGACGGCTTCACGGCGCTGCACCTGGCCGTCCTCAACAACCACCAGGAGGTGGCCCAGATCCTCATCCAGGAGGTGGGGCGTGGGCAGGGCGGGCAGGGCTGGCCATCAGGCGGGCAGGGCGGGTGGCACTCCTGAGCCTGCCCACCGCCCAGGGCCGCTGCGACGTGAACGCCCAGAACCGGAAGCTGCAGACGCCGCTGCACCTGGCCACGCTGCAGGCCCACGTGGGCCTGGTGCCCCTACTGGTGGACGCCGGCTGCAGCGTCAACGCCGAGGACGAGGAGGGGGACACGGCCCTTCACGTGGCCCTGCAGCATCACCAGCGGCTGCCCCTGGTGGCTGAGGGGGCCGGGGGGGACCCGGGGTCTGCACAGCTGCTGTCCAGGGTGAGGATGTGTGGTCCAGCTGTGGCGTGCACCCGAGTCGGGTCCCCCTCCGCCTCTGGTGATGGCCAGGCCACCAGGCGTGGGGGGTGGGCAGTCCCTAGGCGGGTATTGCTGGCGGTCAGCGCCGGGGAGGGGAGGGCTGTGGTGTCCATCGCCCACCCCGGGTGCTTCCCGGCCCCCTGGCAGCAGGCTGCATGGACCCTGCGGGCCCTGCTGGACCCAGCCTCGCGCTCCGCCCTCCCAGCTGCAGGCCTCGGGGCTCCCCGGCGCCGCCGAGCTGACGGTGGGGGCGGCGCTCGCCTGCTTCCTCGCGCTGGAGGGCGCTGACGTGGGCTACACCAGCCACCGCGGCCGGAGTCCGCTGGACCTGGTCGCCGAGGGCCGCGCGCTCAAGGCCCTGCAGGGCTGTGCCCAGCGCTTCCGGTGAGCCCGGGGCTGGCGGGTCGGCGCCCC